AAAGATGGTATGAAGATCAGCTAGTAACTCAGAATCAAAAGTCAATAAACATATACATGTGCCACAATATAATAGGACAGTCTTATTCCTGCCTTCTCAGCATTCACTTTAATACATAAATACATCGAGTACTCTGCTGCTTATCTGCCTTTCCAGAAAACATTATATACATCATAATTCTTGCACAAGAAAGGAAGAACTCTACTTAACTGTAGCTTTCTTTAGCATGTTTAAATATCTTTAGGCATTTTTCTTAACTTTCAATTGTACATTCCTTGAATTAAAAATAAAATTTGGAGAACAGTCAGTGGGTTTTGTATCAACAGTTTCAACAGAAAGATTTTTAAAAGCAAAATCCTAAATGTTGAAGAGATATAAGTTTCTTTAAACAAGTCAAGACACGAGTAATAAAAAAGAAAATAATTATGCGACTATAATTTTCATCTGATTCTCAGAAGAGAAGAAAAGAACAAAGGACAATTTACTTGAATGGCAAAGCAACATTTCATGATGATTCTTAATTATATAGACCAATGCTCTTTATAATAGTCATGAATCTCCAAGTGATCACCATATCAAACAATTATTAGAATCAATGAAACATCCAGCTTTCTACAGAAGATTAGAAACAGGTTATGACATGAGTCTTTAACAGAGAATAAACTTGTTGCAAGACTTGTAGTCTAATTCTCGTAAGATATGACCATTTAGCTTCCATCACAACATCTCTTGCAGATTATATCTAGATGGGTAACTACTAATCTACAAGCACTCAAAGCATTTCTCTTGATGAGAAAAGGGGGATTGCAAAAACCTCAAAAAGAGTTTTACCAAGCAGTATTAGTGGAACAAAAATTCTTCCCATACTGTTGCTAAAATAATCATTCTCCTCTTCAAAAAATGTGAAAGATAAAAAGAAAATACATGTACCTGGCGTCTAATAGATCCAGACAGACTGAATGTGCCAGAAGACTCATCATTTGTAGTCAAAGACAGCATAATAGTACTGGTTAAACAATAGTGGGCCATGCTTTCCTCTTCTGGCCCCACCTGTAACAATTAACGTTGCAGCAAAACTGGGATTATGACCAGAAAACTTGCATAGAAAGAAAGCTGGAGAAAGGAGACAAAAGGGTGGTGAAGATTGTAACCCCGTTATTTGCAGACCATTGCACAAACTTACCTCGATTACATGAATGGCATCCCATGCTCCCTCTTGCAGATGGCCTCTTCTGCCCTGCCCAGTCTTTGACCCATCTGCATATCCTCAACAGCAATCCAGTCAGAACCATGAAACATCCACTTTTATTACTGCTCATTTAGGTAGAAATGCTCACCTTTTTTAATCAAAAAGCAGGCTACAAAACCTTCATTGTCATCTTCCCACATATAAACAGATGAGATACCACCTTCATAGTACCTACCAATAAATTGGCTGATCAAACTTCCAAATCTATGGGCAGCATAAATGAAACAGAAAAACAGTTGATTGAAAACAGAACACAGAATTTCTTCCATTATCAAAACCCCAAGATGAAAAAATGAGAACAGTCTTTAGAAGGAGCTATACTGGGTATCTTCCTCTAACAAATATCATCAGGACAATGAAAACCAGCTGCTTAAAAAAAAAAAAAAGCCAACTCAAGGACGAGGTAAGTAAAGAACCTCACTGGTCACGATAAATGGCAAAGACTTCATTTGCTTCAACTTCAAGTTTCCTCAACTCTGAAGATGGATACAGTGCATCTTCCAATGGTGGATAATACTTATTTGACCAAGGTGATCTACAAGGCACATGTAAAGTGAAAAACATAAACTAATAATGAATTGGAACCAATTTCTACAGGACTGAGGGCGGAAGCAGATGCAAATCAACATTCGACGAGCCCATGACATAAACTGAAATTGGAGCCCCATACAGTGATGAGCAAGCATGACAATAAGAAAGCAAGGACTGGCATGCACCTAACCCTAGAAAAGATGCTCAGATACGTAAAAAAAATAAAATTGAACAGCAAATCAACAGCATTTGTGTCATCGCAAATCAGAACAGTGCCTTTCAATTAAGTAATGCCCAGTGCAAAAGCTATGACTTCACAGCAGATGAAGTTTAAGACGAGCTATAATAATCCGTAAACTAGAAAATCCGCCACTATTATTTACGAAACAACTAATCCGAAGTGCGATGACAATAATAACCAGACAGTGAAAGAGCAAACCTGTAAGAGTCAGCGTCTCTGTTGTACTCACACAATATATATTCCTTTCCACTCTCCAAGTCGCACAAAACCTGTAATAAGAGAAACGAAACAAACAGACTCTAAATTAAGATCAGTATCTTTCAGGCAATTAAATCTTTATGCTTCTATTCCACGCAAATAGACAGAGCAATCTCGTCGACAGTTGAAACAACACAAACCCTAACCCCTCTAATTTGAAATCCAAAGGGAAAGCAAATGCAGGACGAGAGGCCCTAACAACAGGGAAGGAGACACGACCTGGAGAGGCTGATCGACTTGAGAGAGGAGATCGGAGGAGTGGTGAGGCAAGAGGGAAAGGAGAGCGGAGAGAGCAGTCTCTGATTGTTTTGGATGTATTCTCCTCATCAATCCCATCGCCGCCTCCATCTTTTTCTTTCCTCTTTTTTGTCTTCTTCTCCACCTCAATCAATCAATGCACCCGCACACACCAACAAGGAGGAGCAAGGGATGGAGATTTTGAAAATCTCTATTCCTATTCCTATTTATTTTTTCAAAAGGGATAAGCAAAGGGAAAAATAGGCGCGTTCTTGTTGTTTGATCCGAGTTTCCCTCGCGGGAACCCACTCCTCTTCTACTAATGAAGCCCCAGTGCAGCGTCCCCCCTCTCCTCCTTTCTTTCCCCCCCACTTTCTCTTTATTCATTTATTTATTTATATTTTCTCGGGATATGTCGTATAATAAAAGAGCCCATGCGGCCAGCCATGCGAGTTACTTATGGTTGTTTTTTAATATTAATATATTAAAAAAATTAAATTTTATTAAAAATATTTTTAAAATATAAAAACTTATATTATAATTTAAAAAAATTAATTTTTAATTTTAACTGCGTAATTTAACTATTTAAATTCTAGATTTGCTTATTATAAATTATCTATTAAAATACCATAAATTTCAAAGTTACTTACTTATCCATGTTATTGAATTTAAATTTTTAATAGATTAATTGAAATATATATAAATTACCAAAACATCTATAATTGAGAAGAAAAAAAGAAAGGGCCCAGTTTCACTCTTTCCCCGTATCGTAATTATACTTGTCGTTTTTTACCTAGTTTAAAATCAAGAAATACATTGATTGCGGGGCTGGATATTTGATGTTGTTCCTTGTCCTGAGAAATAGATTGGTGGAGAGATTAACGTGGGCAACGAACAATTACCCATTGACATGTCGTCGCTTATCTATAATTTTGGCAGAGAAGCTGGATTGAGATTTACGTCACAACAAGTGTGCGATGGAGAGAGAAATGGCGATCATTGTAGCTTGATCTGTCAAAGCTTGTCCACTGTGGGTTTGGTGGGTCATCAACTCACTGGAATCACTTGCATAAGGGATAACAGGAACAGGAGGAGGGGTTGCGTGGATATGAGTTGTGATGCATGTTTTCTAGGGGACCTCTTTAGTTCCACCTTTACCCCTCCTCCCCGTCTGTCTGCAGTAGACAATGAGGAGTCGAGTAGAAGCCACAGCTACACTTATCTGTCTATTTATCCGAGCGACGAGCGACGAGCTGGGAGATGGCTATTGTTTGTGTCTGCGTCCCATTATGAGACCCCACTTGCAGCTATAAAAAAAAGTTGATCAAGTAATTTTACCTTCGGGTTTTTTTTTCTCTCCTTTTTTTTTTTTTTACATTTAAGATATAGTTTGTTTTTGCTTTTACACTCAAGTATATTTGATTTTTAAATAAGAAATATTTTAAAAAAATATTATATACTGCAACCTCAAATATACACTAATGACAAATACTAGAGGGTTTATTGCAACACGGGAGATAAATAAAGATATAATGGAATTTGAGGGTTTAAAGGGGTGTAAAAAAATAAGGTAATAATTGTTTTTTTTTTTTAAGTTTAAATTTAAAAATATATTAAAATAATTTTTTTTTGTTTTCAAGTAAAGGGAATTCAAAATTCAATAAAATGGTGGTTGCATCAGACGACTAAACAACCCCCAAGTCTTCTTCGTAATCTGTAATGATTGTTAGGTATTGGTTAGGTTTGCAAGGCACTGCCTCCATGATTGCTTATGATAAAAAAATAAGCAATTGTTTCCTTCTTCTCCAGCAGGATGTGGTCTCACATGAATCTTATATTTGAAATTTTGAATACATCGTTAAATTAGCCAGCAATCACATCATTTTATTTCCCGACAGAAACCACATGTGTCCATTAAATTACCCTGCAAAATTGGATTACATTGACCTCTCCTGTCTCTGGATGACAAGTTATCAAGCTCTTAACTTCAAGTTTTCCGACCGCTGTTCAACTCTGTTTAGCGTTGCGATATAACCTGCTTTTCATTAAAAAAAATAAAATTCTTCAACCTTGGTATGGAAGGGTGAACATTTATTTTGAAGGTAGTCTGTACGGGTTATAAAAATGATACTGGTCGACTTGTAAGTCTTTTTTTTAATCACATCCACTTTTTATAAAGAGAGAAATCAATAACATTTAAAGACCACGCATACACAATTCCCTCTTTGAAGTAGAGTTCATGGGATAACTTATTGTTAATTTTTAAAATGTTTTTTATATTGAAATATATTAAAATAATATTTTTTATTTAAAAAAATTATTTTTAAAATTAACATATTAAAACGATACAAAATATATATAAAAAATAATTTTTAAGAAAACAAATTAAATTTTTTAAAAACATAATTTACACCCCCATCCTCAAACATTTTCTCAAGTATTCTCGTAATACTATGATGATATTTGAGATGTGGTATGAGAACATGACATGAGAGGGACATGAGAGGCTTTTTATCTCATCACTCCGTTACTCGATGAGTCTTTATCTGAAAATTCAGAAATGGCATCAGCAACGTAGACCAATAAAAGCAATAGCTAAAATGTTTCATCTAGAGCAGATGAAGAAAGAACTTCTGCACCATTTGACAAAGGCAAACGACTCAACAGAGAGCCTCGTGAAAGATAGTAGCCCGGAGTTGGTAAAGCCGATATTCATTCTCCAAGTGGCCATGCAGAGCTTGTCCAGCATCCATGCACAAACTCAGTAACGCTTAACAAAAATGATTTCAAACATCGCAGTTAAATTAGCTACCAATTCAGCAAGCACTGAGGGAAAAGAGATGGAACTCCAAAGTACATGACTTGCCTAAACTACTGCTATGAGATATTAAATTCATGTATTGAGCTCCTTAGAGGTTGGAGGTTACAAGGTGGAGTTTGCTTAATCTCAGCTACTAAGCATCTAGAAAACAGTATATTTGAAAACAATATATTAATGGTCTTTCGAATTTCAAGTACCTGAATAACATGCAAACTTGAGAGCTTCAAACTCACAGGAAGAAAACCAATGGAATTTCTGAAGCCGTGAGATACTGGGGTTACCTTGGTATTCTCTCAAAGTCGTAAACTGGAAAGCGAAAGGCAAATATTATCATCTGGATTGTCAATTCGCGAGGAAATTTTAGCTCAAACAGAGGATTCCTCATGCTTTACTGTATACCAACATATGCTGAATGTTGCTTCGAAATGGTCCCTGCCTGAAAATTATAGTAAAAAGCTATCATCTGTGATTGAATTGCTATGCATGGTGGGGATGTTATTTGTAAAGCGAAACAAGGAATTGAATACCACATGAGTGCACATGCACATATATGCATTTACCAGCATAAATCACAGTAGATTGTTCAGAGCAACTGCAAAGCAGTGCAAATGGTCCCCCTTGTGGGTGCCATCTTGTTCAGTTATAATATTCTTGTCATTTGTGGACATTCAGCTAAAGCAAATGTAAAGTAGTGCAAGCTGTTAAACCTGTCTACGCAGAAAATCATTTTTTGGATTAAAGGCATCAAATAAAGAACAAGAACCATGCAATTACAATGACAACTGATACTCACATCAGGGGATTCAAGAGCTTGGCCAATCATAAGCAGCACAGCAACCACGCAACAAACTTGGTGCAACAGGAAAGCACTGCCTTTGATTTTTATAGCACAAAGTTGATGCCCTTTAAACCTGCAAAAGAAATAGTAAGGTCTCAATTTGAATAACTGCCAGCAAAGCAGTTTCATAAAGGGATTTCAGTGAAGTGGTCAAAATAAATAAAGGAATTCCTGTTTCATTTCATAAGTTGGATTCAAGCACGTTTATTCACATGGTTCTGATGCTTAGCTTCCTAATCATCCATCCAACACTCCCCATGACACTAGTGTCACCATGCAGCACCAAATATTTCATCCTGACTGAGAAATGGGTTCCATCAGGCAGCATACTGCGTGTCTATCCATTTGTATTTTTAGCTTATTGCTTGTTGCACCCTTTCTTTTACTGTTCACAATTTTTGTAGATAAGAAATGAATTGATAGACCCATCCCACCACTTAATCTTTCAAGTTAAAACCCAGAGATTGATGATGTTTTCTCTTGCACACTCCATCACAAATGCATCACGACCACTCAACTAACACAACCACCAAACTTTAGTGACATGACAAAATTTCAGGAATGAAAGGCTAGTTTATTTTTAAGGGATTTTACCTTGCTGGCTGCCGCAGCCAATGCAAACAAAGAGATAAATCATATGGCATACAAGAATAAACTAATTTTGATATCGAAATCAGACCAGATGATTTACAAATTCAGACCTCAAATCACAAGGAGAGATCTCAAATGATGTCACATGTCGCCTACAATTTTGCACATTGACTGCATCCGTCTTGCGCGTTTCTGAAATCATGTTCCCCCATAAATTTCTTACCTGCACTCTCCATAACTAGGGGGAACATGAAAAATGGTGATAGAATTAATGTTGAGCACTTTTGCTGCATAGCAAGCAGCATAAAATTAGATGTGTTACACGTTAAGTCCAAATAAGAAAAAAAAAAAAAAACTAACAATAAAAGAACTGCATGCCAAGAGATTCAAATTGTCACCCCAAAAGTGATATTTATATTCCCTGCTCAATCAGCTGAACCTGCACTTCACAATAAGATGACTGGTTATGCAAACACAGTATAGTTAATAAGTTCTAAGTAACGCTTTATTAAGCACTTAGAAGGACCTTGCACCGAAGTCACTTGGAACAGGACACCAGCCCACAATTCGAGTGTCCTTCGGAAGGACTCCATTCCACATTCTCACATAACCAATTTCCCCTTCTAAGAAAAATAAAAAGGAACAGCAATAGCGTAAGTTAAAACAAGAAATACGAATTAATTTCACTATAAAAAATTTATCTTGAAATATTCTCCCATTCAGCTTGATAGGTGTGTAACTTGTAATCAAAGATGTAATGCCATGTATTCTATTCAGGATAAAATACTATAACTACGAGGATATTCTTCCCGAAACCTCAAAAATTGTTACTAAAGGATATGATGGCATAAATATACTTAGTAATTAGAGGGAGGATTATAACAATAACAAAATAATTAAAAATAGAATTTCCAAGTCTCACCAAAAAGGAGGGGCATTACAGGTAACTAAACCTCAGTGATCCATCCAATAACAAAATAATTAAAAATTGAAGTTCCAAGTTTCACAACAGAGTTCCAAGTTTCAACTAAAACGTGGGACATTACAAGTAAATAGAGCTCGGTGATCCATCCAAAAATATGAAACCTGGCCGACCATCTTGTTCTTCTGGAAAAGTCTCCCATGAATGTTTGTTTTGAGCATCAACATCCTTGAGTTTGGATCGCAAATACAGTGCAATCACCTGCATCAAACATTAGCCATTTCCTCAGTTTTCAAATGTAAAGGATGAAGATGCTTAAAAAAATGTCGCCTATATACTATGTGGACCATCAACCACGGAAATAATGGGAGGTGCCTCTTCACAGTTGATTTTCTTTTTGTTGACCCATTTGGATTTCCTTTAAATTTTTCCTTCTTTGCATCGGGGGAGGGATGGGGGGAGTTGAAAATGGAGGAAGAAAGACATATTTGCTAAGATGAGGAACTATGGAAACAAAAAGTTTTGTGATGAACGATTATAAAAAAAAGCAGATAAAGAGGAGTATTAGCATGACTTGTTCATTTTGGATGGCTATTCTCATAAGTAGGTGCTTATCCAGATCAGAAGGAAGATAAATGAACAATTTCCATTTCCTGACTAATTCTCAGGGCAGGGCACAAACAACTGGCCCATCAGAGCTGATGGAAGACTTGCAAGGAAGAGAAAACATCATTCCAGTAAGCTGAGGCCAACTTTCTGATAACAATTTACAAGCATTTGTGTTGTTTAAAAAGATTTAGGATTCTTCTTATACCTTTTGTCCATCATCATTGCAGGTTGGACACCACATAAGACTATTCCATTGAATTTCAACTTTTATAATACTAGAAACATAAGTTCATGGTATTAATCAAGCAACTTTAACAATAAAATTGTTAAGCAACTCAAAGAAGTATGAGGTCGAGAGATGATGACCCAACCCCCACCTTTTTTTTTCCATTTTGAAGTTTCCAATACACACACACACAGAGTTCACGTGGATACCGTGTAAATAAATGAATAGTAAGATGAAACGCTATAGAAAATGATTTCAGTTAACTCCACGGCTACTACGACCGATGGGATTGGAAGCGGCGCACCTTTCTGCACATCAGCACAAGAATTGCAGTCTCCTTGAGTTATGGAGATTACAAAAGTTCTTGAATGTAAGTAGCTCAAAACGAAATAGCGACAAAGATTATCAACACGGAAACCTATTTGAACAGAAATATCTGGACGAGCATGGACATTCAATCAAACCCAGAACTATCAAGTTGGTATTTTAAGGGGAATTTTTTTTGGCTAAGCAACCTACTTGCCCAACAGCAGAAACTCCCATGTCTGTTCTACCACATCTCGAATACTGTATCTCCTTCTTATCACCAACTAAAAGTCTTATTTTTTCTACAAATTACTTCACATTTGTCTTTTTGTTAGATTTGACAATAAAGCAACGTCTTTCTCTTTGAAATGGTGCTAGTTTTTAAACAAGTGCGCAGCAGACCATCTCTCAGCCTCGAGCCAAACATCAAAAAATGAAAAAGCCCTCCCCAAGGAGACTGATCTTTTGTTACCTTACTGAACCATAAAATCCAGTCCAATGACCTAAAACCAGAGAAATGCAATGCCACATCTCAACTGTTGGATCCGTTTCTGCATCTGAAGCAAAACCATAAAATCTGGAACATCGCAATCAAGGTTAAAAAGCTCTTCATTCTTCCACCATCACTCTAAACAGTGTATGGTGCCAACGAAAAGAAGAAGAAGAAGAAACACATAGCTGCTTGTTGTTAAGAAAGAAAGAAGCATAATACTTTGATTCTATCTTGAAGATAAGTTAATTGTGATTTCAAATAGACGACTTCTTCTTCTGGTTCTTCAGACTTGCTTCAGCTTGTTCGCTCTGTCCTCGCTCTACTCCGCACCACAACGCCACTGCGACTCTCCTTATAGTCTGAGGTTTTGCTTTTCTTGCTTATAATTTATAACGATTTTGGAGAAAACCTTTTCAAGTTTTCTGTTGGGCTAATGTGGGCCCTGATATTATAAATTTTCTGAAATTCCCTAATCTTCGTGGGCCGGGAAACTTTCCTCTTGGACATTTAGATACAGGCCCAGCTTGATATTTACCAGGGACTGAAACATCGTCAACGGCAGTTACTAAACCATCGAGTTTCCCGGGTATTTTCCATTTCAAAGGGCAGTTAAACGGGGAGGAGAATAGATCCGTGTTGAATGGATCATAACGGAAATGGAATTCTATTTTTAACAAACAAACTACTGCTTGCTGCCTTTTATCACTCGTCATGATCAAAGCCTAAATTTTTTTTATGCATTTTAATTCCAAGGCTGTTTTGCCATCAGGTTTGTGACTCTTTGATAGCTTTCGGTAATAAAAAATACTTGTTAATTGTTATTGATTTTTATGGTTTTGTTAATAGCATTTGATTCCGGAATTCTTAATTTTCTTCGCTGAAGGTTAGTTTTTGCAGGACTGGATTGATTAATTGGATCTTAAGATTTATTAAGCGTTCATCACAAGGGAAGAAGTGTAATTTGTGGAGAAACGTAGGCTCACCGAATTGTTATTTCGGCAGCCGGATCAGTTGCGGTTAGTTTAAGTAGAGTGATGGTTTATGAATTTGTCTCTTGGAATCAGTGATAATCATCAGATTGTGGAGTTGTAGGGAATTTTGGTGGGATGGAATATAGTGATGGTTTCGTATCAAAAGAGCATCGGGAGCTTGCACGATCTGCTTCAGAGAGTGCAGATCCATTGTCTGCATCTCAATTGAAGATCTCAATTCATACAAAGTCTGCAAATTCTCCAAATTCTCCAAGGTCACCAAACCGAACTGGCTCGAGCAGGGGAAGTCCTAGCAAGGGAAGTCCTGGCAAGTGTGAAAGGCATTCACATTCTCCAAAAGACGGGCGTCCTAAAAAAGGTACGGCGATGCGCTTTCAAATACTTGTTAGAAAAGATGGTCGATGATTTCATGAAGTTACAGTTTCATTTAATAGATGTGAATTTTGCATAAATGGTGCTAGGAAATTCATGAATAGAAGGTTGTGTTTTGCCTTGAGTTTATGGAATTTCCCATGTGGCTGTTTGAGACATTTTTCTTGGTTTATAGGCTTTATCCTGACATGCATTCTCTTACTGCCTTCTAGAGATGGAAACTCTCATCTGTTTGTGTTATTTTATTTGGATTTAGTGAATTATTTGTTAACATAAAGGGTAGCTTTAAACTGATTCCTTCGATAATTATATTTTCTTGTGGCAGGTGGTTCAGGGGGTAAAGGAACATGGGGAGGGCTTCTTGACGTCGATGATAATCATTCTCTTGATCCAAATGACCCAAACTTTGATAGCAGTGAGGTGTTTAATTAATAAATCTCACGTTTCTGTGTTCCATCCTTGGATTTTACTTCTAGAATTAGCTTTGCAGCATCCATAAAGATGCAAAGCATTCAAAGGGTATTCTTTTGCTGCAAGTAACAAAAATTGTAGACCATGTCCACTGTTGCAGGAATGCGATCATACAACTGTGAGAAAATCGACAACGGATTTTCTGGAGTTCAAAAGGAATGTTACAATTATGGTGGAGGAATATTTTACGACTGATGATATTGTCTCAACTGCCAACGAATTGAGAGAACTTGAAATGTCTGGCTACCACTATTATTTTGTGAAGAAACTTGTCTCCATGGCCATGGACAGGGACGATAAAGAGAAGGAAATGGCTGCTGTTCTTTTGTCTGCTCTTTATGCTGACATCATCGACCCCCCACATGTTTACAGAGGCTTTTGTAAACTGGTGGAATCTGCAGATGACTTAATTGTAGATATACCTGAAACCGTTGATGTTCTTGCACTGTTCATAGCAAGAGCTGTGGTTGATGACATGCTCCCACCTGCTTTTTTGAAAAAACAGATGGCGTCCCTACCTGAAGATTCTAAGGGGGCTGATGTGCTAAAAAGAGCTGAAAAGGGCTATCTATCAGCCCCTCATCATGCAGAAATTATTGAGCGGCGATGGGGAGGTGGCATGAAAAAAACAGTCGAGGATGTGAAGGCTAAGATTGACAATATACTGCAAGAGTATGTTGTGAGTGGCGACAAGAAAGAGGCTCGCAGATGCATCAAGGATTTGAAAGTTCCATTCTTTCACCATGAAATAGTTAAAAGGGCGCTTATAATGGCAATGGAGAGGAAGCAAGCTGAAGGCCGGCTACTAGATTTGTTGAAGGAAGCCTCTGAAGAAGGCTTGATTAATTCAAGCCAAACATCGAAAGGATTTGGCAGGATGATTGATTCTGTAGATGACTTATCACTAGACATCCCAAATGCATGCAAGATATTACAGTCCTTGATATCTAAAGCTGCATCAGAGGGCTGGCTGTGTGCTTCATCTTTGAAGTCGCTTGTACCAACACCAGTGAAAGGATCTTTGCAAGATGATTCAGCCAAGATTTTCAAGTTGAAAGCTCAATCTATTATTCAAGAATATTTCTTATCTGGTGATATTTCAGAGGTCGGTAGTTGTCTCGGATCAGAGAACAATGCATATTCGGCGGAACTAAATGCCATCTTCATTAAAAGGCTGATAACTCTTGCAATGGATCGAAAAAATAGGGAGAAGGAAATGGCTTCCGTTTTGCTTTCATCTTTGTGTTTCCCATCAGATGATGTCGTGAACGGGTTTATTATGCTGATAGAATCAGCAGATGACACTGCTCTTGACAATCCAGTGGTTGTTGAGGATCTTGCAATGTTTCTGGCAAGAGCAGTGGTGGATGAAGTGTTGGCGCCACGACAGTTGGAGGAAATTGGAACCCAGTTTTCGGGGTCAGAGTCAATTGGGAGGAAAGTCCTTCAAATGGCAAAGTCATCGTTAAAGGCACGACTTTCTGGGGAGCGGATCTTAAGGTGCTGGGGTGGTGGGGGGACCGGCAGTCCTGGATGGGACATTGAAGATGTCAAGGACAAAGTTGGAAGGCTGCTGGAGGAGTTTGAATCTGGAGGAGATATTGGGGAGGCTTGTCGCTGCATAAAGGAATTAAGCATGCCATTTTTCCACCATGAGGTTGTCAAGAAAGCATTAGTGGCTATAATTGAGAAAAAGAATGAAACGTTGTGGCGCTTACTTGATCAATGCTTTAGTTCAGGCCTCATAACCACATATCAGATGATGAAGGGTTTCGGGAGGGTTGCAGAATCTCTGGATGACCTGGCTCTGGATGTGCCTGATGCTGAGAAACAATTCAAACATTATGTCGAGAGAGCTACGCTTGCAGGGTGGTTAGATTCTTTTTTCTGTTTAAGCAAATCAGGACCTACCAAAGAGAATGGCGCCTATCTATGATAAAAGGTAGGCAATCTAATCTAAACAGCTTCTTGACACATGCCCCGCAGCTCAAGTACAGGCCAGAGTTTTCCATAGACATTACATGTTTAACATGACTTCTCTTATAGGAAACAATTTCCATAGACATTACATGTTTAACATGAAATTATATGTTACACGATACTTCTCTTATAGGAAACCATTGCATTATATCCTGCACTGCACATGTTTTGATGTTCATGAAATTCTGCTGTGCAGGTCGTGTTCTTGGTCTTGTTATTTTTCTTCTTGACTCTCCGATCAAACTAATGAAGAGAACCTGACAGTCTGACAGGTTTCATGTGGTTGCTGTCGCCTGTTCTTGAATTCACTTTCCATTGACCTGTTCAGGAAACTGCTGGCATGCCTCTCGCATAAAAAATGCAGCTCTAGGAGGATTTTATGAGCTGAAGCAGAAGATAATTTGATCCTTATGGAATGTTGGCAATTTCACACCTAAGAATAGGGAAATATTACTCAGCTGTGATTCCTTTTTTCTTTTTCTTTTTTGTAGCACTAATAATCTGTTCCTTGGCTGTTGTATGAAGTACACATGGCCAGTAAGAATTTGTTTTGAATTACTTGAAACAAGATTATAATATTT